GAGTGAGTGAGTGAGTGAGTGAGTGAGTGAGTGAGTAAGTAAGTAAGTAAGTAAGTAAGTAAGTAAGCAAGTAAAGTTTTATTTATACAGTGCCTTTCACAGAAATAAATTCACAAGGTGCTGTACATTCAGGGAATGGGGGAGGGGGCAGTTAACCCCTAATTTACATCACTTGCCTTCCGTCTCCGCTCCACTCCGGTCCGACCTCCGCAGCAAATACGCATCCATTATAATCAATGAGAGTGTTTACACTGGCTCCACATGGCTCCACATRGCTGCACAGGGCGGCGATGAGCAGACGGCGATCCGTCAAAATTAGAACAGATCCTATTTTTGCCGGACGACGGAGCTGCGCCGGAGTCAGTTTTTAAAGATTACGTCGCACCAACAGGAAAAGAAATGAGCACAACATCCGTATTTTCAAAATACGACACTATTTGGCAGAATAATTTGTCAGAATAATGTCAAAATTGCAGCTATATTAATAAATATATGGATATATTTCTACACAAATGCTGTCAGAATGTATCGTTCTGTTTGGGAAGCAGATGGAAACATGTAGCATGAAGCATATGTGTACACACACGATACACGTGGATTTTTTTGAAATTAAAAGTTTCAGAAAGCTGACAGCAAGACAGTTTCAACCATAGCTACCAAAAGCCTTTTTATTGTTGTTTTCAGCTGTGTTTGGAGTTCATCTTTGACAGAATTATTTTTTGCTGTGACTTCCACATTTATCCGGAGCAGAGACATAACGCAAGTAATGTAAATCCGGGGTAAGACAGGTCATGCAGCAAACACAGTTGTGCTACCTTTAGACAAACAGAAAAACAGAACAACTAAAAACCACACAAGGGAAAATGAGGAAAAAAAGCAAAAGCATCATATTATATCAACACTGTGACACACCATGGTGTTTATGGAAAAAAAAATAAACCTCTGCATAGGGCAGATTAATTAGCCAGAGGAGTAAGTGAGTGCCTAGCAATGGTAGTTCATTCCAAAAAGTCCAAAAAGTGTATGTTTCCTGTAGTTGGAGACTGGTCTGTATTCACCCCAGAAGCAAACCTCATCAGAGTTTGTTTGGAAGCAGATTGAGACCACCTCAAATGAACTGTAAAGTGAGAAGAAATGCCTGAATCCAATCAACTTCTGGCTGGTTCGGTGCCTTTTGTTTGTTCTGGCTGTGCTTTCAGTTCTTCTTGGTTTTGTTTTTGTTTAGAATAGAATAGAATAGAATAGAATAGAATAGAATAGAATAGAATAGAATAGAATAGAATAGAATAGCCTTCATTGTTCTGCACGGGGAAATTCAGGACGAGTGCCTATTATAAAAAAAAAACAAAATCAAAAACGTTTAAACATAAGCAACATGAAGCTGTCTGGATGCCATATGCTTTGCATCCTGAGTTAATTTGTAGACATAAAACTTCATCACAATTGCCATTGGCAATTTGTTGCAAACTGTCATAGCCCAGTGAGATATGAGCTGAAGAGAATCTATTTATAAAGTTTATTTCTGTTAAAAAGGAGCTATTTTTCCTCACTGCTGTCCTGTGTCAGGTTATATTGAAGTAGTCACTTGAATGATCATTTACAAAACTGTGCTACACTGTGCAAATGTGTGATGAACTTCCAAAGTTAGTAGTCAGTGAAGTTCAAATGTTCTATTCTTAACAAAGAGCAGAAATAATAATACCAAGCATTTTCCAATCTAAAGTTTGTTTCTATCCACATTGTTGACTTATTTTTTAAACTTTTCAGCAACTAAAAACTGTATTTGCATGTTGATGACAGGTTCAAAAACAGGGAAAATGCTGGATTTAGAAAAGTGCATGCTCCTCTGCACAGAGCCACACATTGTTACTTAATAAGGGAGAAAAGAAGAAAGCACAGTGCAGAAAGGGGAGGGTACTGAGCAAGTCACTTGATAGGTTATAAACATCTGACATCAGCTAAGAATCTGTTTACTTTCCCCTAAAAAGTTAGGGTGCTTGAAGAGGGTTGTTTTTCTTGGTGTTCATCCGAAACAATGACTTTTTCAGCCACAAGGTACGTATAATATTTAAAGTTTGTTGCTGTTTTAACTTCATTAATGCACWTCTCTGTGTGCTTTATAGCTAAAGTGACAAAATTGAATCTAGTTTCTTTTTTCAAAATTTGTTTCAACATGTCAAGATTTTGACTTCAGGCTGTTCCAAAATACTGACTTCCAAAATAGGTTGTGCATGAAGCTGAAAAAAATCAAAGTAAAACTTAACACCAGTTTAAATTCAGGATTACCACTTTGTGAGAGCCTGTTGATGAGTTGATGAAGTTCTAAAAGAGCTGATAATATCAAAGAAAATAATGTTATACAGTGGGGTGCGAAAGTTTGGGCAGCCTTGTTAATTTTCCTGATTTACCTTTATTAATCATTGATTGTTTGGATAAAAAATTAAGTAAAATATGTCAAATAGGGTGCAAACACAGTGATATTTGAGAAGGGAAATGGAGTTGATATGATTTGCAGAAAGTGTGCAATAATTGGTTAAACAAAATTAGGCTGGTGCATAAATTTGGGCACAAAATAAAAACCTTAACTCAGTATTTAGTAGATCCTCCTTTCACAGAAATAACATTCTCTAAACACTTCCTTTAGCTTCTAATGAGAGTCTGGATTGTGGCTGAAGGTATTTTAGACCATTCTTCTTTACAAAACATCTCTAGTTCATTCAGGTTTGATGGTTTCTGAGCATGGACAGCTCTCTTTAAGTGACACCACAGATTTTCAATAATATTCAGGTCTGGGGACTGAGATGGCCATTCCAGAACGTTGTACTTGTTCCTCTGCATGAATGCCTTAGTAGATGCTGAGCAGTGTTTAGGGTAGTTGTCGTGTTGGAAGATGCAGCCCCGGCTTCAGCAGCTTCAGCTTTGTCACTGATTCCTGGACATTGGTCTCCAGAATCTGCTGGTATTGATTGGAATCCATGCGTCCCTCAACTTTAACAAGATTCCCAGTCCCTGAACTGGCCACCCAGCCCCACAGCATGATGGAACCATCCATCCATCCATCCATTTTCTTCCGCCTATCCGGGGTCGGGTCGCGGGGGCAGCAGCTTCAGAAGGGAGGCCCAGACCTCCCTTTCCCCAGCCACTTCTTCCAGCTCCTCCGGGGGAACTCCAAGGCGTTCCCAGGCCAGCCGAGAGACATAGTCCCTCCAGCGTGTCCTGGGTCTTCCTCGGGGCCTCCTCCCGGTGGGACGTGCCCGGAATACCTCACCAGGGAGGCGTCCAGGAGGCATCCTTACCAGATGCCCAAGCCACCTCAACTGGCTCCTCTCGACGTGGAGGAGCAGCGGCTCTACTCTGAGTCCCTCCCGGATGACCGAGCTTCTCACCCTATCTCTAAGGGAGAGTCCAGCCACCCTGCGGAGGAAACTCATTTCGGCCGCTTGTATCCGGGACCTCGTTCTTTCGGTCATGACCCAAAGCTCATGACCATAGATGAGGGTAGGAATGTAGATCGACCGGTAAATCGAGAGCTTCGCTTTCTGACTCAGCTCTCTCTTCACCACGACGGACCGGTACAGCGCCCGCTTTACAGCAGACGCTGCGCCAATCCGCCTGTCGATCTCCCGCTCCGTTCTTCCCCCATTCGTGAACAAGATCCCCAGATACTTAAACTCCTCCACTTGAGACAGGGCGACCCCCCTGACCCGGAGAAGGCACTCTGCCCTTTTCCGGCTCAAGACCATGGCCTCGGATTTGGAGGCACTGAGCCTCATCCCGGCCGCTTCGCACTCGGCCGCGAACCGCTCCAGCGAGAGCTGCAGATCTCGTTCCGATGAAGCCAACAGGACCACATCATCCGCAAAAAGCAGAGATGCGATCCTAAGGCCACCAAAACGGATCCCCTCAACACCTCGGCTGCGCCTAGAAATTCTGTCCATGAAAGTAATGAACAGAATCGGTGACAAAGGGCAGCCTTGGCGGAGTCCAACTCTCACCGGAAACGAGCCCGACTTACTGCCGGCAATGCGAACCAGACTCTGACACCGGTCGTACAAGGACCTGACAGCCCGTAACAAAGGGCCCGGTACGATGGAACCACCCCCACATTTTACTGTAGGTAGCAGGTGTTTTTCTTGGAGTACTGTGTTCTTTTTCCTCCATTCATAACGGCCCTTGTTCTGCCCAAATAACTCTATTTTAGTTTCATCAGCCCACAACACCTTATTCCAAAATGAAGCTGGCTTGTCCAAATGTGCTTTAGCATACCTCAAGCAGCTCTGTTTGTGATGTGGGCGGAGAAAAGTCTTCCTCTGCATCACTCTCACATACAGCATCTCTTCGAGCCTTGACTTGAACTGTGCCTGTGGTCCATTTTCTCACAATGTTTCTCACAGTGGAGACTGAAAGCTGAAATCTCTGAGATAKCTTTCTGTATCCTTCCCCTAAACCATGATGGTGAACAATCTTTGTTTTCAGCTTCTTTGAAAGTTGTTTTGAGACTCCCATGCTGCCACTCTTCAGACAAGACGCAAAGAGGAAAAAAGCTTACAATTGTCCCCCTTAAATACACTTTCTCATAATTGGAGTCACCTGTGTATGGAGGTCAAAGGTCACTGAACTTACCAAACCAAATTTAAGTTCCAATAATTAGTTCTAAAGGTTTTCAAATCAATAAAATGACAACAGTGCCCAAATTTATGCACCTGCCTAATTTTGTTTAACCAATTATTACACACTTTCTGTAAGTCGTATAAACTTCATTTCACTTCTCAAATATCACTGTGTTTGTCCCCGTATGATATATTTAACTGATTTTTATTATCCAAACAATCAATGCCTTATAAACGTAAATCAGGAAAATTAACAAGGCTGCCCAAATTTTCGCACCCCACTATATGTTTCTCCTCAAATTTGATGCACAAGAAATGAGCAATGATGTGTTCTGAAATGTCAAAACATGTTTGTTGCTTTGAGTCATCATTTAGAACTTTTAATTCATGCTGTATTAAATAGTTCATGTTAAATATTGAATTCATGTCTCAGTATTCTAAAAAGAGTTTTAACATTTTTTCAGAGTTAGCTTTTTATTGTTTGTACAGTATGTCTGTTTTGTCCTATTTTGTGCAGCCTCCCTGCCAACACCACCTTTTGGGTTGGAGACCGTGCCAAAACAAATGGCAGCAGCTGTTTTCCTGATCAGAATGACTGGCTCTTCACGTTTGTTCCAGTGTACATCCTGCTAATCTCTGTGATGGGAATCGTCCTCAATGTCTTTGTCCTGATAGTTTTCTGCCTCCACAAGAAGGCCTGCACCACATCTGAGATCTACCTCGGCAACTTGGCTGCTGCTGACCTGCTTCTGGTTTCCTTTTTGCCCTTCTGGGCCGTCTATGTTTCCCATCATTATAGCTGGATTTTTGGTCGAGCCATGTGCAAAATTGTCAGCGCAAGCATTCTGATGAATGCTTACTGCAGCATCTACTTCCTGGTTCTAGTCAGCATGGATCGTTATTTGGGTCTGGTGCATCCTCTGTTGTATGACAGAATGCGTAGATCAGTTTTTGCCAAACTGAGCTGTTTGTTTGTGTGGATTCTGGGCTTCCTCTTTAGTCTTCCAGCCCTTATCTACAGGGAACTGACACCACCCAATAATGAAAGGACCAGTTGTTTTGCTTATTATCCAAACACTACTATGATGCTAACAAGTGAAGCATTGATTGTTGTGTTTGGATTCATCATTCCTATTTCTATTATTGCTTTCTGCATGGTCAAAATTATCAAAGTTTTGAGTGGTTTGGCAACTAAAAGAGCAAATGTTGAGAAAACAGACCCCAAAGCAACCACTTTAGCTCTGGCAGTTCTGCTGGCGTTCCTGATCTGTTGGGTTCCATATCACCTGATCAAGATCCTGTATGTGGTCCGTGATGCTGGACTCTTGACTTCGTGTGACTCGCTCAAAATCCTGCATTTTTGCCATCAGATCTTCACCTACTTTGCCTTCTTCAACARCGTCCTCAACCCCATCCTCTACGTCATAGTAGGAAAAAACTTTCAGGCAAAGGTCAAAGAACTCTTCAGGCACCGGACCCACAGTGAAAACTTGACCCTCAACAACGTTTCGGTGACCACAAAACTGTCAAGAAGTGCTGAATCTGAAGATGACCCTGTATAATGTATAATCTGCTCGCAAGTCACTAATAAGACTTTTGTTGATATTTTGTAGTAAWTACAAAACCAGAAGTTATCAGAAAGGTTGTGACTAATCAGTGGTGGCTTGTGAGCATAGATACTAGTGGGGCAGACATTAATTTCCTAAATCAATAYCAACACCAATGTTACAATTTGCGGCAAGTTTTTATGAAAACGATAAAGGCTACATTACTTTTAATCAGYTATTTGTGCACAAAGTTGTTGTCATTTTTCTCCCTCCCTGCAGGTCATGTCTTGTAAAAAAAAAAAAAAAAAGTATGGTCCAATATTAAATCAGAGTAACACATCCTGCTCACACCTGAATGTATTTTGTCTTTTAATTGTGGGTGAMATTAATCATACAGGTAGCTACACAGTTTTCTGGATTGGATTTCTAATTTTGAGTAATAATTAAGTTAAATGGGGTAAGACGTCGTGTGAACTAATTCTAAATATAAAAGTAAAAAAAATTGTGAACTCTGTGTCCTCCAAGACACAAACTCACTGACCGATGGTTTTATGACTGCAGCTCCATATTAGCACAAACTTAGGACAGTAACTCACATACAGTCACCAGAGATTAAAGTAAAAAAATTCTCGTTTTTATTTCCCTTTTATTTCCTTAGTTTCCAGTGTTCCATTCAAGCTGCTCTCTTTGCTCCAAATACATTTTAAACAGATAATCTCCTCCTCTGTTGGACACAAGTTTTGCTGAACACAATTTCTGTATTTTAGCTCACATTTGGTCTACTGTTTGTATCGATGTGCTAAAACCAACAAAAAGTGTCCGTAGGGCAGGATTTCTAACGCCCTATTGAGACTATTTGGAGGATCTAATAATACCGATTATTGCAGACAGGGGGAGTATAGGCTATATTAACACGATAAATCCACTGACAAATAGACTGCACAGCCCTGACTGTAAATAAGTTTAAAAAAAAACTGAGAATGAATCAGCGAAACACATTTCAACTTCAAAAAAATAGACAAAATAGTTGAAAAAYACACAGAACAAAACAATACATGGCAAGCTAAGCAAATAAGCAATTTACGTTTTCTATTAGGAGGAACTACTTTGTGGGGTGAATTAATTTKATTTTAGGTGGGGTGCTGTGCCTGCTAGCCATGGTGTAATGCTCATTGAATAGAAGTTCAATGAAGTTTATTATATTTCAGTGTTGGTTTGCGAGGTTTACGTAAGAGTTAAATCGCAACAAAAAWTTACAATACTGAATTTCAGTAGCTCACATTCTGTAGACAAAACTCTTATAATACTCCTTTTAATGTGCTTGTCTCTTGTCAGTCCTGAACTTTTAATGATGAATCCAAAAAAAACAAAAAATAAAAACTAGTAAGTCCTCTGGATGGATTCTTCTTTGTTGAAACATTTTGTTTGTTCTACAAGGGACTTATTCAGTCTGATGAGTTGCAGGTAAGCTCAGCCTTACCGTATAAGCAGTGAGTTCATTTTCAACTCCTCAGACTGAAGAAGTCTCTTGTAGATAAAACAAAAAGTTTTAACTAAGGAGAACCCATCCAGAGGACTTACTCAACTGTTTTTCAGATTTCTCTATTTGGATTTTTTATTTATGCTATATTCTGTACACTTTTACTTTTCTTTGAGGGGGTGGGGTGGAATTTATGGATAGGTACTTTTTAAATTCCTTCCAGGAAAGTACCTATCCAATTTTATCTATTCTTCTTTACGTATATATTACAAGTATATCATGGTCAACAGAGCAAATGAAGGTTGTGGTGATACATATATATATATATATCATTTTACAATTCGAATCCAAGAAATGCAATAGGAAGTTTTTGTTACTGATACTCTAATAGCTTTAATGTAATTCATTGCTTGATATTATCCTACCAAGGCCTGGGAATTGTTTTTTGCATGCATATTAATATTACATTTCATGATTTTTATTTTATTACTCTATGTGAGTGCTGCAAGTCGGATGTGTAGAGTAAGTCGATCTTGTCCCACTGTCATTTCCTGTTTGCAGAAATAAACTCTACTGTTACAAAAATCTTTAGAACTTTTTTTGACACATGGCACCTCACCCAAACCCTTGATTACGACTCTGCCGTATTTCACAATGCACCCGTTAAACTTGTTCTTTCGTGAGAATCATTTTTTCAGGTTTTGCATAAATCCTCATGTGAACCAAGCTGTAAATTCTAGCCTGTTTTATTTTTGGGTTTTATTTGATTTTAAATGACATCAAGTAACCTATTATAAAGCAGAGTATTATGTCATAATTAACTTTTGGTGGTAAAATTGTGTAATTGTACAAGGAATGGTGTGAGGGCTCTGAAGCAGCTGTGGTGCCCACAGTGGATTTTAGTTTCATGATACTGCTTGAATAAACAAGTTTTAACAAGTGTGATTCAATACCAGCGCAATAAACATCAGACATGATGCCTAAATGTGTGCTGCTTAATCTAAGCAACTGCTTAACATTACAGCATGACTGTGGACA